TATATATATATATATATATATATATATATATATATATAATATATATATATATATATATATATATATATATATATATATATATATATATATATATATATATATATATATATATATATGTGTGTGTATATATATTTATTTACCAGAAATTGCCTCTTGTGAGCTTTAAGCTATGTCAGAATGTTGTTACCTCATACCTGGTGTTGTGTTTTGTTTCATTCACACATATTGTAATCCTTTATTATTAGTCTGTCTACATCTTCAAAGCTCAAAATGCTCTTTTCCATCTTGTGGTAGTTTTCAAGTTAACAGCTACCTTTTTACATTTAGTTCAGTAGAGATTGGCAGTTCCAAGGCTGAAATCATTCAAATGAGTCTAGTAAAAGCATAAAGAGTATAAAAACACAGTGGAGCACTTGTTGTACAACACATTCTTCTGAAGGTGTATGGGTTTTTTTCCTGTATTACTATCATTACAAAGTGATTAAATTTTCAACAAAAAATGTGAGTGACGGAGTGAAAAAACTGTTGGCTAATGTTAGTTAGCTACTTTTATTTGAGACATGTTTAACAACATAAATCAGCTCATCTGTTTTAGTTCCAACAAAGTCAGTTCTTTATGGTAAGAAACAGAGCTTTAGACAGAGCAGTGCCTACAGTTAGCTTATGGATACTTTGCAGCTAGTGTCATCATCATTCCCTGGGGTGCTAACATTACCTTTTCATAGTGAAAATTGTATTGTAATGCTGGTTTTGACTTTAGTCCCAAAAACATTGAACATTATAATTTTCTGTTGTGGCTGTAATATGTACATAGAATTTAATCCTCAAAATAAATAGAATAAGTATATAGACTTGTGACAAATGTATTCCTTTGTTGCTTCCTTTTGCATCATTTTTTAACAGTGCTGGCAGATGACGTATTGTGTTTCTATCCTGCTCCAGTCTGTGCCTCTGCTCCCTTCTTCTGTTTTTTTTCCTGTTTTTTTCTGTGAGTAAAAACCCAAAAGCGTAAGGATGCTGTCATTTCCCCTGTGAGACTTGTGCTTCAGCATGAGCTCATTCTCTTTTACTTATTCATGAGGAGAGTCACTGGAGACGCTCAACACGAGTGGGCGCAGGCTCAGACCACCACATGGAAAGGGAAAACACTGGCAGAAAATTACACATGACTGGCAGAGAAAGTATGAAAATATCTGTTATTTTCTGGGATTATTTTTTTGTTTGTTGTGTAAATATAATTGGCTGTTTGGAGCAGTTGTGGTTGATTTGGTTGATTTCTAACTCTGGACTGTAAGTCTGTAACGTTTGATAATGAATTTCCCACAAAAGTGTGAATTAAGTTTGGATTTTTTACATACATAACACATTTTACCTAACAAACATATTATATATATCTTGTTTTCCCTCACCATTTACTATGCTTAGTTCTCCAATTTTATTTTCTTAATCAGTGTGTAGGATTTTCCAGTGTCATAAAACAACAAAACTATAAAACAACAATGCAGTTGTAGTCATTTTGGTACAAATGAAAAAAAATCTACTCGCTAGTGTGATGTGTAGCGATTGTGATGACGTTTACCGCGTCATCGGCTCTCACTGGGCACCACATCGTTCTAATGCAGAAGTCAGCAAAATTCTTTTATTTTTTAAATATAACACAATGATCCACAGGTGTCATAGATTATAACTATATAGCAGACACAAGCACAGTAGATCTTTAATGGATTTTTTTGCTGTCTCCCAAATATGGCATCATCGAAATCCCAATTTAATGGTTGCAATTATCCAATGCCAAGTCTTCAATTAAAATAATATCCTCTGCAAACAATACAATATAGGCACTTTATTCAATAGCTTCTAATTATCTGTACAGCTTGCTAACCCAGTTTGGACTTTAGGCTTCTATAAACATGTTCTGAAATGATTGTGATTCTTGTATTTAAGTTCATATTTAAATGCGCTTTTAAGTGAATCCTCTATAATCCTCTTGATTTTCTGATAAGCACTGCGATGACTGAAATTGCGATTTATGTTTTAATAGAAAATACAGTTCCCATTAAAAATGTCCAGAAGCATAAACATTTCAGAGAAGACTGAAATATGACCTGCTGAACTCATTACTCAAATTTGTGTAGAGGTGTGTAACTGCAGGGGTAGCAGATTTGCATTGTAAGACAGGATATTTTGCTGTTTGTAGTGGAAATTATGTAACTTTACTGAAAGTCTTTTCTATTTGCTAACTGTTACTATTCATGCCATATGAAAAACTGTATCGAGTCAAAATCTTGTCTATGTCTAGGTCACCCAATCTTGTCGCTCATCTCGCTTTGTGGAAATTGTTTGGTCCCAGCTTTACTCCCAAATCATAAATGTCAAATAACATGTTTTAAAGACCTGTAGTTGTCACTTAATCTCCGTTACTACTGTTTTTACAACTGTAGTAAACTGAAGCCTAATTCGTACACTTGTTTTACACTGTTCCCTGCTATAAACCCTCATGTAACCTCTCCCCTTTTGTCTTAACCGCCATTTATTTTCTCACAATGCTCGTCTGAACACCACTCTGCTGCCATTGTGTTGTTGTGAATGATAACTTAAGAAGCAGAGAGGTCAGCTGTTTTGGAGCCATGTCAGATTTCCCCAGGCGACCCTCAGGAGTGTGTACAAATATGGGCTGACAGTGTCTAACAAGTGAGAAGAGCGTTTACCATGTGTGATAGCTAGCCCTGAGTAAACTGAAGATGTGGGGAGAATTTGTAGGTTGTCAGTAGAAATACACATCATGGAGGACCAGTCCCCTCTGTGTTAGGTTGTGGTGTGTGTGCTTGTGTCTGTGTGTTCATAGACTGTACCTAATAGTGTTGTTTCTAGTTGAACAGAGCTATTGTTGTGAACCTGTTGATTCTAAGGAAACATGCAAGAAAACCACCATAGTACACGCTGCCCTTGTAATGACCAGACAAGAAGACTTATGTAATATACAGTAGGGTTTGGTGCTGTATCGACAACACTCACTCAATTTATTTATTTATTTTTTTAATCATCCCAATAATGATTTATGGTTCATTATGTAACTTTTCTGCTGCAGGGACTTCCACCTATTGTTTCTATGGAAATGTTAGTTTTGCCCAAAATGTTCCACAGTATAGCATTAAACTTTGTATAAAACTTGTATACCTCTCTGGAAACAAACAGAGCTGTCAGATCTGTGGATATGCAAGCACGCTCACAGTAGGGATGCTGTTTTTCAAGGTATTTTTTATAGTCAGACCAAAACCTGTAATTCATCTTCACGGAGACAAGTATGACGAACTCCCCAGCAGAAAAGTTATAGTGTTTCTTTAATCTCATATTTTTGCAATCCATCAGAAATGTGCAAAACATTTCCTGTATTTTAGCTGAGCACCAAAGTGTAGTGTAGCACAAAAATGAATACAATGTTATGTTTTGCCTTTTTACTAAATGAAAACTACAAAACACTCATTTAAAGGTGCACTGTGTAACATTTCAGGTGGATGGTCTATCACCTGCTTCTCTTCGTAAAGATATTGTCTGGAATGTTGAACAGTATGACATTATACTTATTCAATAAAATAAATAAATAAATAAATAAACATTATACTTATTACCTCTACAGAGAGAGCAGGTGACACCACTAGGCCAAGTTACATATCAGATCAGTGGAGGGGTGAGCCATCTCACAGTAAAAATGCTAAATTTTAGGTCAATAAAAACTTATGTAATTGAGTAAATGTGAGATGGATATGTTTAATGCCAAACCGGGACATTCCAGACAAAACAATAACATCTCCATAGAGACAAGCAGGTAGCTAATCCTTCACCAGAAAAGTTACGTAGTGCACCTTTAAACACACTAGTCATTGCAAATGTTCGTACTGGTGCAAGCATGTTCTTAGACCTTGCTCTTCTTAAACATTATCGACCGTACTATTATATATCTGCATTTGAGCGCTGCGTATAACTTGATAGCGCTGCTGCATTGATCACTGTGCTCTGGCCTTATGTGGACTGAACATGGAGCTGTGTCTGAGGGACCACAGCCGACAGGAAACACTTTTACTGCTGAGTCACTGCCTGGAAGACCCAACTATTTCAACAGATGCTCTGGTGCAGAGCCTTAACCCAAACATCTGTGTGTGACAGCCCCAGCTCCCAAAACGAGGACTACAAGTGTGGTTTCATTCAGGGCTATGCAGTTAATAGGATCAAGATCCAAGTGTTGATTATTGTCTATGATTAGCCTGAGAGTGAGATGAATATATAGCCAACATGCCAGTGAAAGGACCATAGACTGTATAAAGAAGTAGAGTGAGTGTGACATCAACATTCATCTCCAGTCAAATTAACATAGATAACATAGCAAAATAAAGTTATGGAGCTCCACATAGACAAAATAGTAAAATAAAAACACCAAGGTTATGTAGAGAGGGTTAATACGAACATTTTAAGACCAACATGATGAAACTTGATGAAAGCAGCAGTTCAGAGAGAGAGGTGTTTCAGTGTTTCAATGTAAAGTCAATTGGAAACCGATCTGTACAGTCTGTGGAAAGGATAGTGTAGAGTTAATGCATAAATTGGTTTGAGTTTGACTTTGTGATCGATTAAAATGTTATACAATTGGAATTGGATAGCCCACATTGGTTAATTTTTTTCACAAAGTACTATTTTAGTACAGCTTATGAAGGGAACAAGGGGAGTTAAGTTGGGTAAAGATGTGAAAGCCATATTTATTTGAAAAGAGCAATTTGTATATACAAGGCAAGAATACTGTGGTCCATTGAGGTTCATTTGGTCTTCCGATTATTTTAATACATTATTTTTCAGACCAGTTTTTAGTTTGTTTTCATACAGTTTTGACTGCCCACTGTGTGTGATGTCCAGACACATCAGTTGAATATTGAATATTGTGAGTTTCCATTGAGAAAACCCTTGTCCCATTCAACACTAATTTTTTGTTTTTTTTTGTGTCTGCGCAGGACCAGTTTGAGAACCTGGACAAACACACACAGTGGGGGATCGACTTTCTGGAGCGATATGCCAAATTTGTAAAGGAGCGACTGGAGATTGAGCAGAACTATGCCAAGCAGCTACGGTGAGAGCAGAGTATGCACTAATGACCAGTAATGTTGAGAATAATGAGTTGGTTTTAATTTTGTTTCCTGGTTGATATGCCATTGAGATGTTGTGTAATAGTTTTTAAAATTATATGTAAAAGATGTAGTATTGACATTGACATATTGATTTTGTACTGTGGAAGTTCTTTATAAGAACTGTGAATTTTACATCCAAAAATAAATACATGTGAAGCTCCATACTCTAAGGATGTGGAAAATTAAATCAAGTTTTCAGATTTTACTGTTTTTCATTTGTGCTAAAACTGTGAATATAGTAGTACTATTTAAACCCAGTTTGGTCCCAGATGAGGAGATACGGATCAAAGGGGGGAAATCCTCTCTGAATATGCAACACACTCTGCAGGCGTCTGCTCTGATGAATGATCAAAGATACTGTACCTCCTGCTCTCTGTCTCACCCCCCCTTTCCTTTCTCTCTCTCCCTCTCTCTCTCTCTCTCTCTCTCTCTCTCTCTCTCTCTCTCTCTCTCTCTCTCTCTCTCTCTCTCTCTCTCTCTCTCTCTCTCTCTCTCTCTCTCTCTCTCTCTCTCTCTCTCTCTCTCTCTCTCTCTCTCTCTCTCTCTCTCTCTCTCTCTCTCTCTCTCTCTCTCTCTCTCTCTCTCTCTCTCTCTCACTCTCTTCCTCTATCTCCCTCTCCTGCTCTATCCTGTCTCTCTCCTTCCTCCCTCTCTCACATTTCTCCCACTGTTTCTCTCTCCTTGTTTTTCCTCACTTTTCTTTCTCTCGTCCCTCTCAATCTCTTTGTCTGTCTCCCTTCTCAAGTCTCCCTCAGTCTTTCCCCCTTCACGCTCTCCCTTTTCTCTCTCTCTCTCTCTCTCTCTCTCTCTCTCTCTCTCTCTCTCTCTCTCTCTCTTCACCCCCTCAGCTCCCCCTTGGTCTCTCCTCTCTCCCTGTCTTCCTCTCCTCTTTCCCTTCCTCTCCCACCATCTTTGGTTGTCACCCTTTAGCTCTCTTCTCTCCCCTTCACCCACCCCTCTCCCCCTATCTCTCTTCTTCCCTCACCCTCTTCTCTTCTCCCTCCTCATCTCTTTGACTCTCTCTTTCTCACTCCTCTTTCTTTTTCTCCCCCCTCTCTCTTCTGTCTCTCTTCCCTCTTCCTATCACCACTCGTGTGTGCAGTTCATTATAATTTCAGACAGGAATGCTTGTGATGTGGTGGGGTTGTAAGCTCACAGTTAAATCATTACCTCTCTGGGCTTTGGCGCGCTGCCGAAGGACCCCTGGAGTACGGACAGGAACTTACTTTGATGTTTCGATCTTTCATTCATCTTTAATAATAAACACAAGTCATCCCTCTCTGTCTCTGGGCCTGATTCATCTGTGTTTACCTGTCGACTTAAAATACGATTGCTATTTTTAACCTCTTCCTTGTTTTTCTAACAGGAACTTGGTAAAGAAATACTGCCCCAAGCGCTCCAAAGATGAGGAACCCAGGTATCAATGTTATTTATTTTTGTTTAATATGTTTTTAAAGGTGCACTTTTCTCGTTGGGGGTCTCTCATCTGATCTTCTCCATGGAGATGATATTGCTTTTCCTGGAATATTCCACAGTATGGCATTGAACATATGTCTTGCATTTATTTAATTATAGGTTTTTATGTTAGTCAAAATGTAAACGGTAAAAGGTAAACCACTATGCTATCTAAAATTACTTAATAATAATAATAATAATATATATTGTTCAAATAATGAGTAGTCATCAATACAACTCCGAGTAAGCTTATGGTAAGACTTATGATACTGATAATTTACAAGCACCAAGTTGATTTAGCATAATACTGTATGTCTGCTTTAAAAGTATATAGCATTGATACACTGTTTGTTTCTAACTGTTTGAATGACATTTTCTGTACAGGTTCACAGCATGTCTCTCGTTTTACTCCATCCTGAATGAGCTGAATGACTACGCAGGCCAGAGGGAGCTGGTGGCCGAGGAGATGGGCCACAAAGTGTACGGAGAGCTGATGAGGTACAGCCAGGATCTCAAGGCTGAGCGCAAACATGTAAGTGTATTCACAGTTCTATGTCCAATCGCACACACTATAGAAACAGGCCTACTGATACTTTGCAGCAGATGTCATCAATTCTCTGGGGGTGTGATGCCAAGTGAAAGCACTACTGTGTTAAAAACTCTGTTACTCATGTTAGACTTAATCTGATCTTTATTTTAACACAATCTGACCAGAAAGAGCTGACTTGGTTGGAACAACAGATGAGATTTGTGCACTTAAACAAGTCTCTCACACATAAAATTACTGTCAGAAGCAAGCTAGCATTAGGCAACAGTTTTTCATTTAGTCACTCTCACCTTTTTTGTTGATTTGTTGGTTACTGCCTATCATTCCTCCTATAGATGCATGTAGAACACCCCCAGCATGATGTCACTGCACAGTATCAATAGATAAAAGACAAACTAAACATATCTACTTTATAAATAGCATCACATTTTTCAGCTGTACATTTATGTCTTCAAGGCACTTTACTTGTTTTTTTTACTGTCTTAAAAACCTGAAAAGCAGAAATACCATCTTAATTATTAATTGTGATAGGTGTATAACAACAGCTAGCATACTAACAGCGCACCAACCGTATTTCATGGTTTGCTGACTGTAAGACAGCACACAGTGGTCTCATTTGACCCAAAGAGCTGCTACTGTACTGAGACAAAAATGTTACTTTATTACATGAAAAACATGAGGTACAACCCCTTTAATCTTTATTTAGAAAACCTTTCTGTTTTAAAATGCTTGTGATCACTTCATTAATTTAGTCATTCATATTTCACTTTACTCTCAAACATGAATGCTGTCTGTGATCTGAATCCTTATGGTAAATTGTAAATCCAGTCGGTATGGAAATAGTTGTCCAAAAACATTTTAATTATGTGTTTTTCCAATTTCATTCAGTTGTATCTCTGATTTGTATTGTCTAAAATCTGTCCTGAATTAATTATGATTTAATGGCATTGTACCAAAAAGCTAAGCAGTAATGCAGTTAGAGTTGACTCCACATATTGTACTGTACTCGTCAGCGTTCTGTTTTATTGGCAGTCTGTGAACTCGTATAAAAAACCCATAAATGTCAGCGTTACTTTTAGTGGTTGTATTTTTAGTTGTATTTTATGGTGTACGTGCATAATATGAACGTGTGGTCATGTCCTTTCAGCATCTGCAGGAGGGCCGGAAGGCTCAGCAGTACTTGGACCAGTGCTGGAAGCAGATGGACAATGTGAGTGTGAAGGGGGTGGACTGTTTTCACTACAAATATTTAGTGATTTTGACATTCACATTCTAGCTGCATGGATTTCTTTTATGATTTTAAGACTAGAAATGCACAAGGAAGTGGGATTGTCAAAAGTATGGATACCCAGATACTAAGACTGTCACAATAATGACTATATTGACTTACCGTTCAATATATGAAAGCTGGAGCTATATTTTTTATAGTGTGCAGATTTTCTTTGCCCTGTTGGGAAATTCTATGACTTATTACAGACTGTGTTTCATTCTGCTGTTTATTCTGTTTCATTCTGCTGTTTATTTTTTGCAGTTCATGGATTTTTTATTGTACATTTAGAATATTTTTATGGTAGAAATCTGCTCTTGAGTTATTTTGTCAGTGGCTAAATTAGCTTCAATATATCGAACTTCAAAATTTGTTATTGTGACAGGCCTACAATACTTATCAATACCAAAATATATATATATATATCAAAACTAGATACTCATTTGAACAAGTTTTAATACTGAAAAAAACAGGTGCTGTGTATTGTGCGCATTATGGATACGTTTAATTTTTCCTTGGGCATATTTTTACACCCGAGTCTTTGGCCAAACTTCTCTAATGTCTTTGAGTCAGAAATTCCATTTGTTCACTCCTGAGGTCATTGGATACCATAAAAATACTAAAATATTACCATTTCTTAAGATTAGATAAGATAATCCTTTGTTGTCTCATAAGGAGCTTAGGTATGCACACATCACTGGTGCTAGGCTACTAGAGTGAATATAGAAAATGAAACAAAACCTGCACACGTACTCCCAAACTTCATTTTAATCTAAGTGTGCAGGTTTTGTCTTGTTTTCTATAATCTTTCATTGATTTCCATCAGAGAAAGTTTTTTTTGAAACAGGGAGTGACATACTTCAAAACAAAGAAAAAACCTCACCAACAACAACATGTGCCCATACAACTAAAGGGATAATGTGTAGCTTTTCTAGTGGTTGTGATGTTATTCTTTTGCCTGGAATTTTAAGTGTAACACTATTTCTTGCCTTTATTGTATCAAGGAGGTTTCTTTTACTCAAAAATAGATGGATTCTCTTGTGAGCAGGACCACTACCACAGATCTGACTTGGTGGCATTACCTGCCTGTTAAATGTCATTCTGTGGAATATTCCAGACAAAGCAGTGACACTTCATAGGAAACAAGCAAGCAGACCCATAGTGCACCTTTAAAGCTCACAAATTATTTGAATAGTTCACATTGGAAGAAGATATGGAAATGAAGCAGGTTTAGAAAGGCATTGTGTAACTTTTCTGTTATTGCTTTATCTGGAATGTTTCACTGTATGATATTAAACCTTTCTCATCATCATGGAGACCAAACCAGGCCAAGCTACTGATCAGATCTGTGGAGTGGCAGCCCCGCTCACATTGAGAATTCCTGTTTTTCTAGGTATTTTTGAGCTATAAAACCACCTGTAATTGAATAACTGTAAGATAGAGCTGTTTAATGTCATACAGTGGAAGATTCCAAGCAGAGCAAAGACATTTCCATAGAAACAAGAAGGTGACGGACCCACTACCGAAAAGTTACACAATGCACCTTTAAAAGATTATGTTAAAGAAAGGCTCTTAGGTCCAGTTGATCAGTCATGCTTTAGCTAGAAACACTTTGTTGATGGTTAGGCGGAGGTCCCATCACATCCGTTTAAGTGTGTGGTCTGCATGGTTCTGTGAGTGACTACCTTGTGACTGGACTGTAATGCCTCAAGTATTCACTATTCACTGCAATTACTTCACTGCTAATGTTGTCCAGATGGGCTGGGAGGAAGTAAAACATATCTTTGTCTGACTCATCTCCAGCCATTCTTTTTATATAATGCCTAGAATGGTACTGGACTAATAAGGAAAAAGTTGAGACCTAAAATTCCAAACCCACAATCAATAATCAAAACAGTGTTCTGAGCGTTCTAATGCAAAATTCAAGACACTCAAGGATACCGTACAACATTTCAAAATATAATAAAAATGTACTGAAAATAATACCAGTAAAACTCAGTAAAATGCATGATGTTAAAATGTTAAAAGATGAAGCTACATTTGCAAAGGGAGCGCAGAATAATTATTAGATATTGACACCTCTTCAAATGAGTATCCATATTTAACTAGTTTTCTGTATTTATTATTATCTGGGTAGCTATTTTTATTATTTATTTTATAATCCTAGTCTAAAACAAACTGAAATAACTTACTATTTTGTATTTTTAGAGCAAAAAGAAATTTGAACGTGAATGCAGAGAAGCTGAGAAATCCCAGATGACCTTTGAGAGATTAGATAACGACGTCAATGCCACAAAATCAGAAGTGGAAAAGGTGAGTAACTTATATGATTATTATTAAAGTATATTTAAAGATTCTATAGTACACAAAATGTATTCTTGTGTGCTTTAGGCTATGTTTATAATGTTATTACTTCACCAAAACATACCCTGAGTTGTGTTTTGTTTTATTCACATATGTTTGAGTAATACTTTATTATTAGTCTGTGTGCATCTCCAAAGCTCAAAATGCTCTGTGCTACCTTGTGATTTCAGGAAGTGGTAGTTTTCAAGTTAACGGCTACCTTTTGTACAGGAGAGATTGACAATTACAGGGCTAATATTATCCAAATGATTCTAGTGAACGTGTGTGGAGTTTAAAAACACAGTGGAGCACTTCATGCATTACTACATGACATCGCAAGGTGGAACAGAGTGTTTTCTGTGAGAAGAACTCAGCCCAGATATGCAGGGTTTTTGTATTAAGTATGTGTGAATGAAACAAAACGCAACTCCAGGAAACAACATTATAACATAGATGAGAAAATAGCGTAATATGGGCCCTTTAAATAAACAATGTCCTCATTTGACTTTTTGCTGTTATAACATTTGAACGTAAACATCTTGCATTTAAGAGTGGCCCAGTGGTTTGCAGAAGGTCAGTGGACTATAATTGATGCGTCTGAAATTACACTGTGTCGTCTTTTCCCAATGGTTGCTGTATAATTAAACTTACTGGTTACGCTTTTGAGGAAAATACAGTTATCCAAAGATAGATAGCACCATATAAGGCTTGTTTTGAAATGAGGTAATGCAAGATTTTTTTAACTACTCAACAACTACTCATTTATATTTTTTTTCACAGAAATATGAATTACAGTGTGTTATTCAGGAACTTTGACTGTCTAGATGAATAAAAACTTTGATTTATTATTGTCATTTGTTGCGAATTTCCAGGCCAAAAGTCAGTACTACCTTCGGACACACATGGCGGACGAAAGCAAAAATGAGTATGCTGCACAACTACAGAACTTCAACGCAGAGCAGTGGAAACATTTCAACAACGCAATACCACACATCTTTAAGGTACAACATGTCCCACTAAAGTTCAGTTAAAGAAGCACTGTGTAACTTTTCTAGAGAGGATCTGTAACCTGTTTGAGAGGGTTTGTAACCGTTATGTCTCCGTGGAGATGTTAATTGGTTCATTCCACAGACATTATGGTATTAAACTAACCTGTCTTGCATTTATTCAGCTACAGGTGTTATTTATTGCTAATTGTCTTAAAAAGATTCATCCTTACTGTGAGTGGGAGCGCCTCTCCACAAATCTAATCTGTAATTTGTAAGTCTCCATTGAGATTCTTAAGTTTATGGCCATAGTGTGGAAGATTCTAGGCACATCTCTATGGAGACAAGCAGGTAACTGACCCTCCAAGTTACATGCAAAAGTTTAAAGTTTAAAGTTAAAACATAATCCTTAATATAGTTGAACAGTTAATAGTTGAACCCAGAGTAACCCTAGTGTTTTTCAAGGATCGCAGTAGCAAGCAGTAACATGCTTCTGTCATTAAAGTTTGGTTTTGTATCACCTGTGACAAGTATTACTTGTGACTAGGCTGGGCAATTTATGCTGTTTTCTGAGCAATTTTATAATATTATTTATTCATCAAATACCTGCCCGGAGTTGTGTTTTGTTTCATTCACACACATTTGACACACAAACCATGCATGGCTCAGTCCCTCTGTCAAACAGAAAACACTCTATTCTATACACTTTTGATGTCATATAGTAATACAGGAAGTGCCAGTGTTTTTAAACGCCAAACACCTTCACTAGACTAATTTGGATAAATTCAATCCTGGAATTGCCAATCTCTACTGAACAAAAGACAAAAGTTAGCTGTTAACTATCACTTCAAGACATCACAAGATGGAACAGAGCATTTTGAGCTTTGGCATTGTAAAGAGACTAATAATTAAGGTGTACTCAAACGTGTGAATGAAACAAAACTTAACCTCAGATATGTTTTTGAGGATGTAAATTTATAATGTTGGCTTAGAGCTTTCAACAGTCAATTTTGCGTATTATTGGACCTTTTAATAAAATCTAATCAAATCAGCTTGTATCTTTTGAATAGAGAGGTCCACAGCCAATCCTCTGTCAGTAAAAGCTTGTTGTTTGGAGCAGAGTTTGAACTTTGGACAAACTATTTTTAATCCATTTATTAAACAAAAGATTAATTTTGTTGCTATATTGCACAGCCCTATTTGACATCCCCACCAAATGTTTACTCTTGCACATTCACGGGCTTAAATAAGCTTCTGCTAACACTGTGTCTACTCAACAGGAGAATGGCAGAAGAGTAAATAGTTACGTTTTTGTCTGTACAGAATCTCCAGGACATGGACGAGCGGCGGACAGTGAAGTTGGGTGAGACCTACAGGAGTTTTGCTGAAGCAGAGAGAAGAGTTATTCCTATCGTTTCAAAATGTTTAGAAGGAATGGTGTCAGCCGCCAAGGCTGTAGATGAAAGAAAAGTAAGTGATTTCCAATAGACTAAGAGTATGGGATTTAATATTGCTCTAATAAAAATCAAGAAATAATACTTTGAAGATCCTATATTACACTAAATGGAATCTTGTGAGATTTAAGCCATGTTATAGTGTTATTACCTCACCAAAAACATACCTGTTGTCATGTTTTGTTTTATTCACAGTGTCAAACACAGAGAACAGTGTTTTCTGGTTGACAAAAGAATTCAGCCTAAATGTGCAAGATTTGTGTTTTAAAAAATTAAACGAATCACAACTCCAGGTATGTTTTTTTATGAGGTAACAGCATTATACGGCTTAAATCTCACAAGAATCAATTTTGTGTAATATATTTCTTTATTTTTATACAGTATATACACTGAAACCTTCACTTTATGTGAGTCTATATAATATATGGGTTTGACTTTCTGAAAAAAAAAAAACTTTTTCATGACATCCACATTTTTTGAAATGTACTAGTATATCAACAAGCTTTGTTTAGATTCCAGACATTTCCTAAATTGTCTGGTACCTACATATTATATAATTTTCCCTTTTTTTCTCAGGACTCAGCCATTGTAGTGGAATCCTTTAAGTCAGGCTTTGAACCTCCAGGCGACTTCCCTTTTGAGGACTTCAGTCAGACTCTGAACAGGACGGGCTCAGACGGGACAATCAGCAGCACCCCCCGTGGAGAGAGAGAGGTCACGCCAGGACCACGGCCCGACCCACGACACGCCATGAACAGAACCAAAAACAAACTCTGGCCTTTTGGCACCAAGAAACCCAAGGTACACAGTGGACACGCTCTGCACACCCAAATAATCAAATAGAAACCAAATCTCAAAACAGTATATTCATTAGTTGTTTAGCTTTGTTAAGTAATTAGACTTACTGGTCTACATATTATATCTTATTGTGATTGGTAGTCTTGGAATTCGTCATAATAATCGTGACTAATCAAAAATAATTGTTGACTGTTTTAATATTTGTTATCTGATCTAAACAGACTCTAAAACACTTGACAAGAGGTGTTTTATCACAAAGGCAGCGATTTGTATTAATCGATGCAAATTTTGATACATTCAGGAATATTTTATCAGCAAGATATTATCAGCGAGTTAAACAAAAACAAGTGGATTTAGCTTTTTGAAGCAAACGTTTCGTTACCAACAAGATCAGGGCTTAATTTGTGATTTCTCTATGTAAAAGCCTTCAGATAATATGCATTTATTTTGACTGGTTATAAATACAGTTTAAAGCCTCGGTTTACAATAGAAATAGTTGATTAACTAGTTGAATAATCTAAAGTATCACTGACTAGTTGACTAATCACTGCAGCTCTAGGGATTGGTCATCTTTATTTTATTCAGAGATTTGCAATGCTACTAATAGCTCTTTCATAGATTGCATGTTAAGTGTTTGCCACCTTCCCTCAGTCTACACCAGTCTTACCAAGATCTGGACCTTGCCCCGTGTGAGCTAATCATTAATCATTAGCTTACGTCACATCCCGCCGCAAGCAATCAGGAACTGTGCCACAGAGAGGGTGTGGTGTTTGTTTTCTCAATCACTTTAATTGTTCAGCACAACCGAAACACCTTTATATTTTACACATATTACTCAACGTATTACTTTGTAGGTCAAGAGGGAGAAACCATGCTTCATTCACCGCAGTTCAAGAGGGTTTTAGTTGAAAATACAAACTGTTAGGACATCAGTTCATGGTCTTTAAAGCTGGGGTAGCCTATGTGAGTTTACTCCTTTTAAAAGAGTATTTTTTTGTGTGTGAGAGCAAGGAACATATTAGATATATTTAGATACTTTCTTTTTTATGATTTTATGATTTTCAAAGTCCTACATTACACAAAATAGATTCTTGTGAGCTTTAGGCCATGTTAGAATGTTGTTCCCTCATCAGAAACATACCTGGAGTTCATACAAGTTTGAGAAATCCTTTACTATTATTCTCTCTACATCCCCAAAGCTCAAAATGCTCTGTTCCACCTTGTGATGCCATGAAGCAGTAGTTTTCAAGTTAACAGCTACGTTTTTGCTTTTAGTTCAGTAGAGATTTGCAATTCCAAATGATTCAAATGATCCAAATGATTCTAGTGAGCGTGTATGGACAAAAACACAGTAGGGCACTTTCTGTATTATCACATGACATCACAAGGTGGAATAGAGTATTTTTTGTTTTAGAAAAAAACTGTGTGTGAATGAAACAGAATTCTATTCCAGGTCTGTTTGAGATTAGGAAACATTTTGTCACAGATCAGCTTATGTTATTGGGTAATATTTCGAGATTGTTCCATGTTGACTTGTGGCTTTGTCGTCTTTCCCCGCTCCCCACTAGTCCACCCCTCCCCCTCCTCCCCAGTCCTCATCCACCCGTGTCCGACCATCCTCCACCCTTTTCCCCTCACCCCGCTTCAGCACAGATCTAGTGAGCCACTATCTGTCAGAGATAAAGACTACAGTACCCAGAATCCCCCACAATTTGAAGGGCCTGAAGAGAGGGGTGAGACAGGAAGTGGTGTGTAGTAGCTGGACAGGTTCAAACACTCATAAGATTTCTTTAAAGGCCTTTGCAAGTTCTAATACATTATGTTGAGTTTTTACTATTTTAATTTCATAAAGGTTTTATTTTAACTTAGTATAAATTTTTTGTACAAAATTTCACAAACTTGGGTTGTGCTTTGGCAATTTTGTGCAAGTAAGTAACAAGAAACAATCGTATTAAAATGTGTAAGGTAAGATAAAGTAGACTACATCAAAATATACAATACTGACAGAATAACAGTAAAACCAGTAGTGCAGATATATCGGAATACTGTCAATGTTACTAGATCTAAAAACTTGCATAGGCTTTTTATAATGTATTCTTCTCTTTTTCCCTGTCTCTTTTTACTTTTGTGTGATCTTTCTTTTCGTTATTAGACTGTTTTTTCTACAATCACATCTTGAAGGATCCTGCTGATTGATGGTGTATGTGAGATCGGATGGGTTTTCATGTTTTTTTTCTATTTGCAGTGATGTTTGCTGTGTGGTGTGACTAGTGTGATACGGGTTTCCTGCCTGCAACAGTTTAAAGATGCACTGTGCAACTTTTTAGTAGGGGGGCCGTCACCTTCTTGTTTCTATGGAACTGTCATTGCTCAGCTCGGAATGTTCCACAGTATGACATTAAACAGATCTACCTTAACATTAATTCAGTTACATGTGGTATTGTAACTCAGAAATACTTAGAAAAATGGGCTGGTTGCCTCTCCACAGATGTGACCTGTAACTTGGCCTGGTTTGGTCTATGACGATAGAACGGTTTAATGTCATACTGTGAAACATTCCAGACAAAGCAATAACATCTCCATGGAGAAAAGCATTTGATGGTCCCTCTTCCAGAAAAGTTACACAACAGCACCTTTAACATGAACTTGAAAAATAACATAAAACTGAAGCTTGTGAGCTCACGTTGGCTGATTCAGTGTTTATAAAAAGTGATCCAATTAAAGGAACACTGTGAAACTTTTCTGGTGAGGGGTCTCTTACTTATTGGTCTCCATGGAGATGTCATTGTTTTGCCTGGAATATGTTAAAGTATCTCTGCCATTAAACATATCTATTTTGCTTTTATTCAGTTACATATGTTTTGATTTGCTAAAAAATATGTTCAAAAACAAACATTCTCACTATGAGTGGGCTCGCCTCTCCACAGATTTGACCTACAACTTGGCCCGGTGGTATCATCTGCTTGGCTTCATGGAGACTGATACAGTTATTGATACCATACTGTGGAACATTCAAGGGAAAGCAATAACATCTCCATGAAGATAAGCATTTTGCATACCATACCAGAAAAGTTACATAGTGCACCTTTTAACACCTGGAACATACTACACACTGTTGATTGTTCCAGGTTAACAGTGCTGTGTCATCCCAGCTCACAGTTCTTCTTTTTGACTAATACTTTTCCATCACATCAGCACCTGTGTATACATTTGTATGATTGTGTAGTATGCTATTTAAATGTCTTATATAATATAAAATTGACCTAAAGACGTTATAATATTGTTACCTCCTCAAAAACATACCTGGTGTTGTGTTTTGTTTCATTCACACATTCACACATGAGTAATCCTTTTATTACTAGTCTGTCTACATCTCCAAATCTCAAAATGTTCTGTTCCACCTTGTGATGTCATGAAGCAGTAGTCTTCATGTCAACAGCTACCTTTTCACCTTTTGTTCAGTAGAGATTGGCAATTCTGGAGCTGAAATTATCCAGATGATTCTAGTGAGGGTGTATCACCATATGACATCAAAAAGTGGAATAGAATGTTTTATCTTTGAGAGGCAAACACAACCTCAGTATGCAAGGTTTGTGTGTTAAACATGTGCCAAGGAAACAAAACACAACTCTAGTTATGTTTGTGACAAGGAAACATCATTATTCATCATTAACATAGATCAGAAAATAGTGTAATATGGACCCATTAAAAATGTCTTTATGGGCACTGAATCTATATTTAACCAAATACCTGACTGTCTTGGTTCAAAACATGAGCAGAAACGGCAACAAATATACAAATATTGAAAAAAATTATAAAGCTTGCTTTCTTACAAATACCTCTCAGCAATTGTGCTGTGGTCTCTCTATATATATTACTTGTATGTGCTACTGGTTTGAGACTGAAAACTAAACCAGTAGTAAATCGGTAAATTGGCTGTCCCTTACTGACCATTAACCAGCTTACTGTGCTCTCTCTTTGCTGAATTGATTGACATGTTTGCATCTCAGTGGTCAGTGAAGATGGTAAGTGTGTACAAGTGTGTATAGACTGTAGTACCAAGAAGACCCAGCAGTTTTCTGTAGGTCTCCCATGTTGTCTAAACTTACCCTGTGTTAGGACTCCTGTAGAAGTCCCATTAGCAGAAGTAGTCTTATAGAAATAGATCTTAAGTTAATCCAATCCCATTTATAAAGTAAAATATATCTCCCATTGTGTCCAAAAATGTGAATGGTGGTAAATTATGTTGGTAAAATCTATAGATAATTTTACATTTAAATTGCAGTTATTGTACTTAAACCCTGCAGGTGCACTGTGTAACCTTTTCACCGAGAGCTAATATAAATGTGTTTTTCAAGGTGTTAGAAATTAAAACATCTGTAATTAAATAATTACAACATCAATAAATGTGGAACATTCAGGGCAAAGCAATAACCAAACAATGAAGAGAAGCAGGTGGTGGACCCTTCAACCGAAAAGTTACATATTGCACCTTTAACTTTAAAGAACAATTACTTTGATAACAATTTTAATGCCTCTCCCAACAACCAACATTCATGTTTTGTCTTAAGGTTATTTTAATGTGTCCTTCATCACTACCCTTATGACATAGTCAAGTATAAAACCAGCAAATACCCTTTCTCAAATATATTTAATATCACACTGCCATTTTGTGCAATTTGTTAATAAAAGCAAGTTTCATTATTTCCTCATTCTTTGGTTTAAATTTGGCTTTCAAGGCTGCTAATATTAGAGTTGACACATGCAGGAAAATGGTACTATAAAATCTTGTGTGTTTGTGCCAGGGCCCACCCCCAGAGGATTTCAGCCATTTACCCCCTGAACAGAGGAGGAAGAGACTACAGCAAAGGATAGATGAGCTCCAGAAAGAACTACAGAAGGAAGTGGATCAGAGGTAGTACTTTTTAGGCCACTACTTTGATAATAACTATGTTTACTTGCAATTAAAAATCTGACCATTACCTGATTTTATTAGATTACTAAAACATTGCATGAAATATTATCTGATGTGATGTAACAGTTACTATAAAAATACACTGACTAACTTATGTCAGCGGGTGTTTTTAATTAGATATTTTTTGTACATGTAAACACACACCAAAAATGAGATACACTCATCTGATCTCTACTGGCCATGTCAATGTACTCATTGTACAAATCTAGACTCAAAAGTGTTCTGTTTAACTATTATTGAAATATTATTGAATCTGCACTTTCTCTTCTCTTTTAAAATGTATTTATAAAAATAGGAATCCAGCTTCTCTTCTGATTCTGATGTTGACACTTTGGCGTTAAGTGTCTGCCGATAACCAGTATCAGCCCATACTGGCAGAAACACAAATGGTTAAATATTACTTAAATGTGTTTTGTAGCTGTTATTTATCATTTAAAATAACTACAGGACAGCTTTGAAAAAATACTAGTTCAATAATATGAGGTATTTTGTTCCAATAAGTAAATCAGTCAGTAAATCGTCTTATTACACCAATTTTAGAACCAATAAAATTTTCTATATCAGCCCCAATATCCAATACCAGCATCCAATCGGAACCTTCTTAATAAAGATTATATACATTTTTATTTACTTCTATGTTTGCAATGAAATGTAAATATTTTGAAATGCTTTATGTATGAATATTGCTCTACAAATAAACCTGCCTTGCCTTAATTCACATATATAGAACTGAATATTAGTTTAGGCAATTTAAATACACAACTGCTTTCTTTTCTTCCAGAGAGGCCCTGAACAAGATGAAGGACGTATACGGAAAGAATCCCAAGTTGGGTGATCCCAGCAGCCTGGAGCCGAAGATCTCAGAAACCATCTGTAACATGGAGAAGCTGCGATCGGAAATTCACAGACATGAGGTTAGAAAGGATTTTAAATAGTAACAAAGGGCAAATTGAGGAATGGTCTGAAATCAGCATTGCAGTCATGTTACTATCTGCTAGTATATATGCAGTTTCTGCTGAAGTGCTTAGGGAGCCACCTTGTGGCCTAAATGAGTGAACGTGTCATTTGTTTGTACATAATTATATTATTTTTATTTTTTTTGTTTGTGTATTCAAGTTTTAGCGATGTCACAATATAAATATAAAGTATTATGATTATTTGAGAGGGAATATCAAATTCAGCAATTAGTTATGATTATTGACAACACTAAAATCCTCACTTTCATTTCTGTCCATTCTTTCATTGTCTAATATAAACAGTAAGTGTTTTGCTTTTTGAAAACCAGCTTTCTGAATGATAAAGAAAATGTCAACATAAAAAAGCATTTTTTGGTGCACAGAAACTGTATAATAAATTGTCAGTTCTTCAACAATTATGTATTTTTTTTGTTTTTGTGATTATTTTGTGAGCTGAATATTATTGGCCTCTCATATCCTTGTGTACAGAACTGGTTGGCTGAAGTTGAGGGGAAGCAAAGCAGAGGAGACAGAAGACACAGCGCTGACAATCATCATCATGCGCCTCCAGGAAGAGAGAGGTCAGATTGCAATAATATATAATATACGCACGCACGCGCACACACACACACACACACACACACACACACACACACACACACACACACACACACACACACACACACACACACACACACACACACACACACACACACACAGTAAGTTATAAGATTATTCACAATTGAATCAATATAACTATATGAATTGTCACACTCACAGAATGACAACAGTTACAAATAACAAAATATAACTTGTTTATCCATATTGGCTGTGCTTCTCACACTGGTATAAAATGCATTCATATACATAATAACCAAAAAATATCTAAATGTATGAGAAGACAGTTACAACAAGTTGAGCTTGAATGTGTAATAAAAATGCCTATTGCCTTAACATTGTTTCTCCCTCTCCCTCCAGTCCTGAGGGCAGTTACACAGACGACACGAGTCAGGAACACAGCACCCCTCATCACCGCTCCCACCCCCCACCCACAGGACACAGAGCCACGGACAACGCTCACGAGTTCGACGACGAGTTTGATGATGATGACCCCCTGCCTGTCATTGGCCACTGCAAAGCTCTTTACTCATATGATGGTAAGGGGGGCAAGGCAATACAATACAACTTTTGAGTGATGTATTTGGAGGTGGGAGACGGATCTATAAACCAATAGTTTTGTGAAAATTGCCATATTTACAGGCTTAATAATAATAATAATAATAATAATAATAATAATAATAATAATAATAATAAAATTTACTTAAATATTGTCATTGGGATCTTTTTTTTAATGAATGAATTTTACCCAGTATCCCTTACCCCTAAATGCACTTTAAATACTTTGTTACATTTTTTCAGGTCAGGACGAGGGGACGCTAGTGATGGCTGAAGATGAGGTACACAATATCTTTAAACAAAAACTAAAATTATGTCAAAGTAATCAAATTCTTCTGCTAATAACCCTTTCTATTCTATTAGGTGTTGTATGTGATCGAGCAGGACAAAGGCGATGGCTGGACGCGCGCGAGGAAACAGAGTGGCGAGGAGGGTTACGTGCCCACCACTTATGTAGACATCACCATGGAGAAGAACTGTAAAGGTGCTGTTACCTACATCTGACCCTGTCCTCCCCCCTCTCCTGTCACACCCTCCCCCCAAACAGACTCTTCTCATCTGCTGCATGGACAATCACCCAGCCCTCTCTTCTTCTGCATAACTCTCCACCTGTTTCTATCTCTCGTTGTGTCTCATTCATCTTTCATCATGTTCAAAGAGGTGAGTGTCACGTGCAGTGTGTGTTTGTAAAGAGGTTTTTACTGCTGTTTGAGCCCCATGAGTTTAGGCTGTCCGAGAGTTTCACAAGCAATGTTACAACATGTGATATCTGCAGTACATGAGAAGGTGTAGTTGTAAATAAAGGGCTCATATTACGCTATTTTCTGATCTATATTATAATGTTGTCTCCTCATCCCGCATATACCTGGAGTTTTTTTGCATATTTAGACTAAGTTCTTGTCTCAAACTGAAAACGCACACAGGAAGTGCTTCACTGTGTTTTTAGAAATTCATACAGCTTCAATAGAATCGTTTGGATGATTTCAGCCTTGAATTGCCAGTCTTGACTAGACTAAAAGGTAGTTGTTTACTTGAAAACTACTGCTTCATGACATCACAAGGTAGAATAGAGCATTTTGAGCCTTGGAGGTGTAGAGAGAGTAATAATAAAGCGTTACACATACGTGTGAATGAAACAAAAAACAACTCCAGATATGTTTTTGAGGAGGTAACAACATTATGTTTCCTGAAGCAATCTAGCTGGGACTTTGAATGTAATGTAGAGTGGTAGTTTGACCAACAGTTAGATGGTTAGATAGGTTATAATGTTGAAACTGTAATTATTTTATCTATGTGGCCTTACATAGCTAAGAAATAGAGCACCATTTTTGTTAGAAAAGGAATACCTTGCATAATTCAAATATCATTCAAACAAGTTGAAGTTCACACATGAGCTAAAGGCACGCAGTTTTGTTACACTGTGCCTCCTTCTGATGCAGTTTCAAGATTAGTTGGTTTAATATTAATAATACAATACAATACAATAATACAATACAATAATACAGTAATACAACCATTGATATTACAAAAGCAAAGTCAACAGCAAAGTTATGGTAGACAGTATTCACCCTTCTCTTGAACCATAGAATAGAAAATAACATGTTGTAACTTTGTTTGTCATTGACTCTGGGCTTTAACCACATCTAATCGATCAAAGTGTTTTATAAATACTTTTATATGATATTAGAAACACATGTTGTTTCGACCTTGTAAGTATTTTGATTTTAAGCTGTAGATTTTACCTGATTTTGACATGCAATTGGAATAAGGTATTGATTTTTATTTTCCTAATTTGTTTTATTTATGTATTAACAGTGTGCTCTCAGTGTCTACCTTGGTCTGTCTATCAGATATTGTCTTCCATTTACACAATAAGTCTTTATATATCATTTTTATGTATTGATAGAATATAAAAACAGTAAACTTGGCTATCATTTGTTACCTTATCATTTGCTCTTACCATTACAGAGGTTATGGATCATTTTAATTTTATATCTGTAACTTTGGGTTTGGCTATTCCCAGTGGTGGAAGAAGTACTCAATTTTGTTACTTAAGTAAAAGTACATACGCCAGCTCAAAAAATACTCAAGTAAAAGTAAAAGTACCACATGAAAAAATTGACTTAAAAAGTATTAAAGTGCCCGTTTAAAAAATGTACATAAAGAGTAAAAAGTAAAAGTATTTTGTGCAGATTTTGAGATCTTATACCATTTCAAATGCAGTGATTTTCATAAAGATTTCTGCTTTATTTTGTTCAGCAGAAACAACTGAATGTCAATCAGTTTTTATTTGTGCATTTTTGTGTGCTCAAATTATGAACATTTTAAAAATAAACCCCTCAGGCTTTTCAGCAGGTCTCAAACTATCATAAAAAATACTTTTACTTTTCAGTCCTGTTCAAAAATGTAATGGAGTAGAAAGTAGAGATACTGACTCTTAAACGTAGTAAAGTAAAGGTAAAGCATATCCTCTTTAAAATCAACTACTTAAAATCTATACTTAAGTGCAGTACTTTAACAACTTTTACTTAGTTACTTCCACCACTGGCTATTCCATCTATGCAAAGTTTTTTGCAGTAACATGTTCATAGCACATTCGGTTTGTCATATTGTCGTTTGGTAAAGTTTTCACTAATTAAAAAAACAACTTTGTGCACTGATACATTAACTGGCTTCTCCATTTTTGTAGAGTAGCTACTGTGATAATGCTGTAGATAGTGTGAATTTGTGCGTTTTGTAGTAACTTTTCTCTTCTATGTGACCGCAGGTTCCTGAGGGCTGCAGGGTGGCCGGGCGATTTGATTGGCTGGTGGAGGGCTCACGCTGATTTGCTAGTAATTAAGCACTGGGCTTAAGGGAGACATAGAGAGAGAGAGAGAGAGAGAGAGAGACAGGGGATAACTACTTAGTGTTATGGAAGGCAGGTTTGCACGTTTGCATGCTCACATTCATCCAAACAGCCATGCGTACAGGGTCAGAGAGCTAAGAAACTAAACTTTTACTGCCAAACAACACTGAAATAACTTTGATCTACCAAGTGCCATAACAGTCTTCTCATATGGTTCTTCTCATTCTTGTATTTATCAGCTAATCATAAAGAGAAAGTAAACTTGACCTCATTAAATACTAAATTGTAAAAATGGAATTGCAATTATTATTTATTAAAATGAGTTGATAAATACATTAGCTGAAGTTTAATATATTTCTGACTAAATCACAAAGATCTTTAGAGTTACCTGAGAACTTGTTGCAAAAATAAGATTAGGAGAAGCCTCTTGGTTTGATGGCTTTGACCCTGCCATTTTAACATGATACTGCTTACCCATTTGATAAGTTAACAGTAAATATGGTTGGGGGATATTAAATGTGTTTTGTATTGATTAATCAAAATTTCTGAATAGATTTTTTCTTATAATAAACAAATATGGCTTCTATTCAGTACAAGTTAACACAAAAAATAGGCAAAATTATCAGTCAGATAATTCAGAGGATAGAAAATGACATTTGAATCAAGTGCACTGCCCTAACAAGACTTCTCCTTAATCGGTCAGCTATAGTAATTGATACTTTGCAGCTGATATCAACATTCCCTGGGGGTGTGATGCTAACAGCAGGCATGTTTTTGTCTGAAGCTCTCTTAGACTTTGATTGACCACAATCTGACCATAAAAAACTGACTTAGCTGGAACTGTAACAGATGAGATCATGCTTGTGCTGTGCTGTTAATGATGAACGCTTGTATTTATCACAGGCCCCTGAAAATGTGGTGTTTAAATCCATTTTGTTTTCTTTATATGTGTGCATTGTGCCTTCATGGTAACTACTGAACATTCCACTATAGAGATATATGTAGAATACCCCCAGTGTAATGTCACTGCAAAATATCAATAACATTTGAAACAGGGTCAGTGTTTGCCTGCCTAAACATAACTAACATTGTGCTTGCTCATGTGTCTGCGTCGTGCCTGTGCCACTCTGCTCCTCACTCCGACTCATGTCAGTTAAACTGCGCATGCTCCCATCAGTTACATTTGTGTTCATACGTTAACAGCATTTTTTACAGGCTGACTCCACTCCTAACAGTGGACCTCAAGGGACATTTGTTGGATAAAATGGTCTGCACTGGGAAGACTGTTTTTGATACCAAGTTTAAAGATGCACTATGTCACGTTTTTGTTTGAGGGTCCATCACTTGCCCATCTCATAAAAATGTTATTGCTTTACCTGGAATGTTTCATAGTATGGCATTTATGGGTTTCAGACAAATGATTCCTCTCTGATTTTAAGGTTTTTGTAAGGGCTAAATTGCTTAATTGAATTGCTTAACTGTCATGGTAATGACAAGTTATAAAGTTAGAAAGATTTGTTTATGGGTTTTAGTCTTATATTTATTCAGGTGCAGTTGTTAATTGTCAAAAATGCTTGTCTCCAGGGTATTAATGTCATTTTGTTGAAGATTACAGGCAAAACTTACATCTTCATGGTGAATAGAATGTTTTTGACCCTCCACCTAAAAACAAACATAGTGCTCCTTTAATGGCTTTTTATCTATAAAAAATCCATGGTTTAGCATTTAGTCTAACTTTTTTTAATTATCCTATTTTGCATGTCATGTTGTCCACAGTGAGGGGAGGGGGCTTAGCTTTGTATGCATCCATTTGTGTGCATGGTTACGTGAGTGTGTCATCAACATCAGCATGATTTTGTATCCCAGTGTTTTTTGCTCAGTGGAGCTTTAATTTATACAGTTAGTGGGACTTTGAACCCCTGTCCCTCATCTCTCCCCTCCTGTCATGAACTTCCTTTTGGATGTAACTCTACATGTCAACCAGCAGATGGCAGCCTTTCTTCACAAATTCCCTACTAAAATCAAGCTGGACTGGGCTTCCATGAAATCCTCAAATTTAAATCAAGAGGAGCTCTCTGCAGTCACAGTCTGCCTTAACAGAAATGGTAGAGCTTGACTACATCTCCCATCAGCCACCTGGCTCCACTTGTGTCCAGGTTTTTACATGTACTTTGTTCATTTGAATGTGACGTTATGTGGTGATAGTTTCAAACCATTGAATGAATTGTACATAATAACATGTCTGAATGTGTTTCCGTGGTGATTGTTTTTAAGTTTGATTCATTATGAGAAAAGATTATAAATTGAACTTTGCACTTTGAACAGCATTTGAAATGAGTAGGTGCTGTACACAGGTATGAATAATGTGTGTACGTAGCTAGGTTTCTGAATGACCACTTTTAGCTGCAAATCTAAAATTAAACTTTTCTCTGAACAGTTTTATAGTTTTTGTAACAAGCTTTTTGCATGATTTTCAACATTCGTTAGCTGTTTTGTTGTATTCATTGAATACTTAGACCACTTGTGTTACTCTCAACACAATATGTGCTTCCTTTTGGTGCTGTTATAAGCAAAAACAATTCACCACTAATGTTTGTTGGTCTCACAAGTGTTTATATATATTTCAGCGCCTTACTAAACCAAAGTTAACTAAACACATTCTTCAATTCATATTTTGAGATTACACACTACAAATAATACAGATTTAGTGAAACTAGCTCTTTGTATTCCTTGTTTTAGCAGCTGGTTTGTATTTGACAAAGCTGTGAACAGAATGATGCTGTAAGAAATGTTTACTCCCCTCACTTGATATCGAATGGCACCCTCACATGTCTGAACTTACCTTCCATAACCCAACTTAAATGGTAAAACAATTGTCTTTTTTTTTTCTTTAAGATGACATTGCACTGTTAATAAATAATTGAGCACCAACTAATCCTCTGTCAGTCTATCTAAATGTACAGTGTGTGAATTTGTACTATAATAATGCACCCACTTATACTGCCTTCTGTGACAATGACAATAACACATAATAAGCTTACTAAAAATACTCCAAATTCTCTAAGAAATGCCTTTTTTATTTTACAACATTTACAAAAGCAAGTTAACTTAAGCTGCTGATTGGTCAATTGTAAGCCTTTGAGATCGACCAGTATGGGTTTTTCATGGACATGGAGCAACCAGTGGCCAATAAGCTCTGCTGATATTTTTGTAGGGCCAATTTATTTTATTGTAATAATTATGTAATTAAAATTTACTCCGAACTCCCCACAGCCTTTTTTTTTTTTTTTTTTAAACTGCAAACCTTTAATAGAACTATGTATTACAGTTAGTGCAATTATCTATTCATATTTTAAGTGTTAAAATAAAGCTAAAAGCAAAATATGCTGGAGATTTAAGGCTGATACTTGATACGCTTAAAAGTCCAGATGTCTACCCCATATATCGGCCATATATCGGTCTATCTCTAATAAGTCTATGGGAAATCGTTCATTTGCGGTTGGGGTTTTGTTGTAGTAACAGCCAGCATATCACTAAAACTAATACAGTCTAGTGTATGTTCCATTGTATTGCAAGTATAAGTACAATTTCAGGTTTACTCATTAAATGTTACCTCAGCGTGGTTCTATACAAAACTCTAATAAATGCAATTCAACATGTAGCCATAAACATGTTTATTTTTTCCACTAATTGTCACTGTGGTAAATAAAATGTATCTATAATGCAAAAGATTCAGGACTAGATAAGTGTGAGTTCTTCTAACAGTGCTTTTAACTAATCTCTTACTGTAAACGCTCACCTATACTACCAACTGGCATCCCGTGGAAACTCCCATCGACCACTATACATTTTTTTATTTTATTTTTTTATCACTAAGATGTCATTCCAGCTACATTGTACATGATGTAATAACGCAGTAACAGTAACATTGTTGTGCACACTTTTTACTTTGAATGTTTGTCATAGACTTTGTGAATAAATGCTTTTTTTGCATCTAAGATATTGTTCTAATAAAATAATGAAGCAAGTTTTTGAAGAACTTACTTGTAACTACACTGAACATACTTTTAAGTTCATACAACATATTTATTAATCTTTTCACTGGTGCTTACAATATAAACATTAAAATACATCCACATTTTTACAGTCTGCTACAATAAAATATGTACAGTCTTATTAACATGCTAATGCTACAAATAATTTACACACAGTTTAAATCATGTTAATGTTACTTTAGAACAACATGACCACTCAGGCTTCATTTTACAGGTGTAGAAATTTTTGGGATTTTAAGGTGAACAGTGTAATTTTTCTGGTTTGGTTTGCAGTAGAAGGTTAAATTTGCATTGAACATATGTATCACCATGGAGACAAGCAGGTGACACCATGATACCAAGTTACAGAGCAGATCTGTGGAAAGGCCAGAGAATTCACAGTCAGAAATTAAAGGTATTTTTACATACTTTTAGACATTTGTATTTGACTTCATGCTAGATAAATTTGTTACAATGCATAGCATCTTCATGGAGACAAGCAGGTAGTGGTTCAAGTCCAGAAAAGTTACATAGTGCACCTTTAATTTAAAGGGCTTGTACCTGACTTTTATTCCATAAAGTATAATTTAAAAGCTTGTAATTAAAAGATGATTTAATGATATATTGTGAGAACAAAAAGGAAGCAACTACCAAGAACAGATGGCTTTATCCAATCAGGAGCTTTTGTTGCATGAGGACTATATGGAAACAACAATCCCACACAGTTGTTTATCATGGTTGAACATCAGCATGAGAGAAGTGAGTGGGGCAAAAAGCTAATTCAGTAACATGCTCTTCAGGATACAGGCCCAGTTTAAACACAGCTACAAGTAACAGACTAGGGTTTTGTTATGCTGTAATAAAATGGTTAAACAGTTCAACAGTGACTCATATTTGTTATGATCATAAATATTTGTGTATACAGGCTCTTAAAACAAAGTGCTGCAGAATCCATGATTGACATAATTACAGCTACTCACAACTTAAACCTGTCTGGGTTAGTGTCCACCACCTCAAACAGATGCATAGTAACTTGACAGTGTACTCATTTTTATTGCCCATTTTATCCATAATGTAAAATAAAATATCACACAGTATGGCATTAAACGTAGCTTTCTCCATGTAGTCGAACCAGTGGTGCCACTCGACCAAGTTACAAGTTGCATCTGTGGAGAGGCAACCCCACTCACAGTAAGAACGCATGCTTTTACTATATTTATGAGCATTTTTACTGAAACAAATGCTAGAAAGGTAAGTTAAATGCCATACTGTGGAACATTCCAGGTAAAGCACTGAGATCTCAATGGAGACAATCAGGCCAGAAAAATTACATAGTGCACCTTTAAATCATTTTTGTTTCATCTCCAAACCATGCCAGGTGGCTCAGCTTTTGTTACCTGGAGGTTTTGGGTCAATAGGTTAAATGATTCAAACCTGCGTCTTTAGTTTTATAATCTTCTTAAATCCAATCGGTGGACCCAAAACAACTGCGTATTTAATCAATGTTTTTAAACTTCGTGCCGTGGTGTATGCCCACATTTGGATGAAGTCAGATTAATGTCTGTGTTTTGGGAGGGGGCTCCAGTTTCCGTGACAACGCGGTGAGGATGAGGTTAAACTTGTTGTAGCGATCTGATTGGTTGACGGTTGCTCCTCTGCTTCCCCATAGCAGGCGAAGCTGAAAGTCTGTCTTGAAAACCTCCAATAGATCTTTGTCAATCTCAAAACCTGTAAAAAAAAAAATATATATATATATACACAAAATATATATTAGTTTTATTTTGCCAGATTTTAAAAGTGCATATGACAGGTTTTCATGTTTTCTTAATTTTCACTTGGTATTGTGGGAAATATTTATGATGAAGTTTTATATCAGTTGAGTGGGAGTTTGTGTAAAAAAAAGTTGAAAAGAAAAGCACAAAAATACATGAAGCAGTGGTGAAAAATACCTCTACCTATGTAGTCAAAACAAAACAAAAAATCCATAGAAAATAAACAATTTGCATGCAAGAATGGAACATTCATTTAACAAAATAAAGATAGTGTAAGGCTAATCATAAGTATCGTGCAATTTAGACAAGTTTTGGGCTTTGTTCACATTGCGGGTTGCTAGGTAACAGTTATGGAATTACCTCTATATATGTCTTATCTCCTGCTCATAAGTAAGATTAAGAACGTCATGAAAATTAAAGAAAAAAACAAAAAGAACTTTTGCATTTACCTTGCAAGATCTTGTGTGCATTTGTGGTATAGCTTTCAGAGTTGTGCGCCATTTCTCGAGCTGCCTCCAGGTGGCGCAGCATGATGTCACAGCCATGGTCACTGGTCTCCCAAAGCTCCGCCCCATCAGGACCCATGGGTGGGCGCTCCATCAGGGTGAGCAGGGGCACCAAGAGAGGAACACAGACCAGAGTACCAATAGTTGCTGTGGAAGGCAAAGATAAGTGTGGGACTTAGTATTATAATGTTTTTCAGTTGTAATCGATTATATTGCTTTGCCTGTTCCGTACCTGTGCCTTCATATAAGTTCTTGTAAAAAGGTTTGAGGATTTTCTCGTAACCTATTGCTGTTTGCGTGAAGTTTCTCCGAAGAACAGTCCATGTTTCTTCTAACCGAGTAATCTGTACAAAAAAAAAGAAAACATCAAATATTTTGGTCCAAATTACTGAAAAATAGCTAGAGATGGGAACAAACAAATTCAACTAAATCTTGCACAAGACTGTGCAAGATTTTGACACAATTTATACTAAATAAATGGATAAATATCTAGTTAATGCATATGCCATTCTTATTGAACCTTTTTAAAATAATATGTATTCAAGTATTCATTATTTTTGGTAAAAGCAATGATTGTGCACACCAATTTTATATTATGATAATTGCACTCTAATGTAATGTAACCTGAATTGTTGGCAGATGTGAGACCCTGTGACATTATATCTTAATAAAAATGATATAACACTTTACCTGGGGCATGTCCAGAGCTTTCATCAAAGCAGTGAAGGCAAACAGGTCTCCCACAGTGTCCTTCAGCTCCACAGCCACTAGAATAATCCTGTTCAGAGTGGACGCCCGCTCCTCCACACTGCCTGTGCACCCCAGAATATCTACCGCCACTCCGATCGCCATCGTGTGGTGCCTGTCACAGTCAATATAAGTAAGTTGAATCTCAAGCACAAAATGTAGCTTTTCTAGTGGGTCATCTATCCGGCTTGTCTCCATTCTTTGCCTAGAATGCTCCACACTGTGACATTAAACTGATCTGTTGCATTTATTCAATTACAAGTATTAGGTCAAAACAAAAAACAACATCTCTACTGATCTGACCTGTTAGTTAAGTTAAGACAACATAACGTGGTTGTCTGTATGGAGATATGCCATAGTATGGAACATTTAAAAGTAATAACAAAGTAATAACATCTTCATGGAGAGTGACCCACCAGAGTGACCCACCACAGGCAAAAGTTACAGAGTAAACCTTTAAATAGTTACAGTAAAATATGCACCTCTCCATCAGGTCCAGTCTGAGTTGTTGACCGTGAGGCAGAGTGACTAGCTCCAGTCCTGAGGCCACACCCATCCGACCTTTGACCTCTGCAGTTACTCCAAGTATCCTCGCAACCTGAAAGAAGCAAGACAGAATTTAAACCTCCAGAACCTACACAAAAGCTTTCAACACAGCTATAATACAGATAGATGTAGACTCAATCTGTGTGAATGAAGAGAAAAAAAAATCTTTAGTGTTTAGTCTTATTATGCTATAGATGCAGTAAAGATGGGGACCAAAAATAATCATTCTACTGGTGCTTATTAACTGCCAGGCTGATGGTTGATTGTGATTTTAAAATATAAATAGCTTAAAGCTCAAGTATACTTTTGATTTTTAAAGTATATTTTGAAACAGGTATTTTAATCCTCCAGAGTGGGTGGTGCCCGGCGGGTTGGGAGAAGCGGCTGTGAGGCGGGCTCTAGAGTGATGATTGACAGCCAACTGACAGACACAACGATCCAACATGGCATGGACCATTGCGCTCTAGACTTTGAATCTGAGCGAACATTTGTGCTCGGATCATGCCAGTCCCCCTTTTCTCTAGACAAAGCGGGACATTGCAGTGACCAGCAGTGCCACCTTGCTGAGAGGGGCTCCTCTACCTACCGCCCGTAGACAGGAGTTAGTCCAACCCTATGGTCCAACCTGAAAATTCAAATGTACTGGCCGTAGTTGATCCTAAAGAGGCCGTTACAAACACGGCTTTTGACCCAAAAATCAGTTTTTTAATAAATATGCACTAAAATGCCAAAATAAGGCCAGGGATAGGTATACATTTCTATTTTAGACCCATTTACAAAGCTAATCAGTAGAAAACTGATTTTGGTGTTTAGTGACCCTTTAAGTAACAAAACTGAGTACTTCTTCCACCACTGGAGTACAATGGCAGCTAAATAATAGGACTGAACACATTTAAATAGAGTTGATACCTGGCAGTCGGCCACAAGCAGGTGGCGGGCGATGCTGTGGTGGTCGTGACTCAGCAGCAGCTCTTTGGCTCTCTTCAGCACAGACATCTCCAGGGGTTTGTTCACCTCAGGGAGCAGGCGGGTATCAAATGTGCTTGGGTTAAAAGCTGATTCAATCTCTATCACTGGCCTCAGAAAACTGCATTCAATATCATTTTCATACTCCTCTTCCTCTTTCCCCAGATTATCTTCCTCTTCTTCACTAGTGTTTTCCAAAGCAGCAATAGCGTTGTGGTACGAGCTCCGATCCAGCCCTCTCCTGTGTCCTTCTGAGTCATTATCAATTTCAGTGTGTCCGTTTTTGGTCAGTCTGTCTACGTAACTGCAGGGGACAGCTAGGTTGTCCATAGAACCGTTGTAGGATTTAGTGTCTGGACCTCGGAGCGGGCTGTTGGACCTGAGATCTGCAGGGCTGGGCTGTCTCTGGTCTGGTCCCAAACATGAGTCCAATTCAGGAAGGTGGACAACCTCTGAGGCATCTGGAGGGAGGAGGAGGTAGTGGGGTCTTACTCCTGGAGAAGCTATGGTACGGAAAGAAAGTTCATTTAAAATAACATAGTAATAAGATAACTAGCATATAGATTTTTATTTACAAGCACTATTAAAGGGTCCATATTGTGCTATTTTCTGATCTGTTATTATAATGCTGTGTCCTCATCAAAAGCATACCTGGATTTGTGTTTTGTTTGTTTTGTTTTATTTAACACACAAACCCTGCATATTTAGACTAGAGTTTTTCTCTCAAACAGAAAATACTTATACAGGAACTACTCCACTGATGTTTTAAACTCCATACACCCTCAATAGAATCATTTAGGTAATTTCAGCCTTCGAAAAGGTAGCTGTTAACTTAAAAGCTACCACAAGGTAGCAAGGGAGCATTTTGAGCTTTGGAGATGTAGGCAGACTAGTAATAAAGGGTTCCTCAAACATGTGTGAATGAAATAAAACACAACTCCAGTTATATTTTTGAAGAAGTAACAACATTATAACGTGGCTTAAAGCTCACAAGAACCAATTTTGCATAATATAGGACCTTGCACCTTGCACCTTGCACAGTAAGGAAGTCAAAAGTGGAACTAAGTTCGCAATAAACCAGGACTAAACCAAGTCTAGACCAGGAATAAACTAGAAATTAGGCCTCAAACCAGTGTGAACATACCCTTACAATGTATTGAAGCGTAACCTCTTGGAGTTTAAATCTTTCGTCGCATTTCAACAATACCATGAGCCTATCCATAGTTTTCAAAATAGAGCAGACATATTTGCAAATTGAATTTTTTCATAAAATATAATAATACCTACAATTTCCAAAACTACAGATATTACATAGTTGTCACAGTAGTTTCAGTTTAAGCTTACCCGTACTTCTCCACATTGAGTTTGGAGTGTCCAGACAAAGTGAATCAGAAGAAGCAGTAGTCCGACTGGATACAGTGGTGCAGGTTTCTGATTGGCTGGTGGGCGGGGCTAAGGGCTGAAGTGCAGGTGAGCGAGGGAGGCGGGACAGAAGCACCTTACTTGGTTTAGGAGGAGGTTTGGGACACAGCTGACTGTCAGAGCCTCTTATGGCCTGGCCTAGACACAGACATGGAAATATAATGCAAAGCTGTTATTTCATTGATGTTCCTTTAAGCATCATGACATATACATCAATGTCTGTCTGGTTACCAGCATACTTTGTGGATGGGAGCAGACGAGGACACTGTGAAAATCAATTTCTCTTTGACAGAAAATTAGCTGATCTCTGCTCCTGGCTCTGCTATCGACATGTGCAGATGAACCTACATTTTAAAGAGCCCGCAGTAATGGCTTTGTGATACTGACTCTAGTAGATAGTTATAAAAGAAACTGTTTTGTTTATGGCATAATTCAGAGGTATCCACACTTTTTTTGTATGCCATATACATATCAAAACACAGTTGATGTAGAGAGCTGATTGCGGGCCATAGGTTGGTGGTTAATACAGTGAATAATAAAAAATGTGCATTTAAAACAGGTTAGAATCAGTCACCAGATGTTTATTCATGCTTACATCTTCAATAGGACACACTATATATTTGATACTGGCTTTATCTAGGTACATTTTCAGACACTTGCAATGAAAAAAACTGCATAAGGTTATGTGGGCTAATTCAAATGGAAGTCTGAGGGCCAAGAAAAATTGGTCTGATGGCCGCAGTTGGTCCCGGGCCATAGTTTGGACACGACTGGTATAAATGATAAGTGAAAGCACATGATTTAAAGGATGCATAGTCCTTACAAACAGTTAATGTCAGAGCATTTATGGTTTTGGAAGTGGTCATTTCAGGTTTGGTGGGGCTTTTTATATCAGGTGGAGCTTACCTATCTCTCCTGTCCTCCGGGGGAAGGAGGGGCTGAGGACCGGCTCACTTCCTGTTCGAAACACTGGGGACTTGGGCTTTGGACTGGGGGGTTGTGTGTCTGGAGACAGAGCTGGTTTACAACCTGATGTGAAAAAACAAACATTATTGAGGTCATTCATACAAAAATGTAGATTGTTACACAGCTATTCTCACCAAGAGGTAAGAAGCTTTCTGACTGGTGGGCCTTGAGTGGCCGTCGTCTTTCCAGGATCTGATTGAGGCTGGCCGGTTGACTGCCACAGCGATCTTTCAACCTGATCAGAGCAAATAAAATACAAAAATCAGCATACAACAGTTACAGCTCAGATCTGTGGAGAGGCATGGGCGCTCATAGTAAGAATGCATGTTTTTGAACATATTTTACAATGTAAAATTTTTAAAAAACTCAATCCAGAGTATTTTACCGGATCATTGCACATGTTATTAACACTTTCATATCTTTAATCTGCAAATGTTTCACTGTCTCAGGTTTCTATTCACTGTTTCATATTATGATTGATGTGTGTATTCTGTTACTCGCTGTTTTATACTGCCTCTTTGCCAGGTCATCATTGAAAATGAGAAAGTGTTCTCAATTGATTTGCCTGGTAAAATACGGGATAAATAAAATAAAAAATAAAAAAATCGATCAGCGCATATAAAAGGCAAATCAACATACAACAGTTACAAGTCAGATCTGTCTAGAGGTATGACTGCTCATAGTAAGAATGCATGTTTTTGGAAGTATTTTTGAGTAAGCCACATTGATCTTTCAACCTAAAGAGAGGATATAAACCACAGAAATCATCATACACCAGTTACAGGTCAGATCTGTAGAGAGGCATGGCCACTCATTGCAAGAATGCATGTTTTTCAAGGTATTTTTGAGTAAGCCAACTTGATGAGAGCAAATAAACGATATAAGTCAGTCATGTTAATAGAAATAAGAGTAGCTTTTATGAGGTAATTGGGTCGTGCTGACAGTGACTTTGCTGATTATTCCAGTTATATTAAACCGCAAATGTTGTAACAGGCTTTAACGGTCGCACCCTGTGGCTCTGCTCATATATTATACATATTTTTAATGTAAGAAACCCATTTGCTTATTTTCAGCATTCAGCCAGAGGGATAAACAGCTCAGGGCAAAAAGTCAAGATCTTAAAGTGGTAGCCTCTCCTTTATTTTGCTCCACCCTAACCCTAGTGAACCCCAGTAAGAGTTAATATGCAAAAACACACAAGTGCCATTTGGAAAAAAAAAGTAGAAGGTTTACAGTTTTCTCTTTATTCAGCAGTGTTTTCAAAAGCCAAATATACTTTAATCCAATAAAAATATTATTCCATCCCTTTTTGAGAAAATTAATTCAACTGTTGGTGGTTTTCAGATTCTACAATATAATGATGTCAGATGGAGACAAGAGCCAGTTTTCCCTATCGCCATGGGAAATTTCTAAAATAATAATTCACAAATGTTGAACTTGGTCATTTCTGTTATTGACTAGACCCATGACCTCAATGTATTACAACAAAAAACTGCATTATAACAATATTATTTTTCTAATTTTAACTACTGCCCCTTTGTATTAGACAGTATTGGCCTATAGAATGTCATCTGAAAACCAGCAATACTGTTACTGTACTATTAGTTATATGTGTTGAATAAAGTACGGCTGTAGAAAAATGAAATTCTTGGTTGACATGTCCCGGTAATCGATTAGTTGACTAAAAATGGGGGTGCTGCCAAATGTATCGGACCAAAACTGCACTCAAGAGACTACAACTGCACAGGAATTCATGCTAAACAGATTTTTACACTAAAGAGTACTAGGACATAATGGAAAATGTGTATAGGTAAGTAAAAAGCAGATTAAATACATGATTCACTCACAAATCTTTTGCCAACTCACTCCATATTTTCTCTTGTTTGGTGAAATCCTTAAAATTGCAATTACATAATTAGTCGACTAATACAAATTTTGGCCAACTAAGACACCAAGACTGATTAATCAACTAAACAATTACAGCCCTAGAAAATAGTATCAAAAAAGAAAAAAAATCTAAATTTGAGATAAGTGTTTTTGCAAATGAACTCTGATATTATTCTAATGTGGTGCAGTATATTCAGACCTAAGCTGGTGTCCTCTGGTCAGCCCGTTGTCCTGGCAGGGAGACACATCGTGCAGGTTGTGTTTTTCGTGGGCGTGTCCGTTGGTGATGTTTAGACTGAGGCGTTTTTGGTTCCTCTTCTCCTGTGCGGACAGACTTGCCTCTCTCTGGGGACTGGACAGACCATACTTCTCCTCCAAACAGCGAAGAGGTAACGATCGGTTTATGGGCTGAAAGATGATGGCTCCTACAACCTGTAAAAAAGATGCCGTTAAAAAACCCTACACCTGGATCTAAATCAGAATTAGACAAGAACTAAACCACCTCTAGAACAGGACCAAACCATAGACTGTATATTAGTTTATGGAACAAACTACACTGGGGACAAACCAGGACCAAACTGTAACTGTCTGAGGTATGAAGCCTGCTTAAAGGTGTAACTTTTCAACACCTGCAAATAGCCATTGCTTGGCCTAGAATGTTCCACAATGTGGCATTAAGCCTATCCATCTGCGCAGCCAAGCAGATGATGCAACCAGGCCAAATTACAAGTTAAATCTGTGAAGAGGTGCTATCACTGTAAGAAGTCTTGGCTAAGAGGTCTTTATGCTTTACTGTCCTACTTTTAGCAAAGTTCTGGACATCCACAAAACAATTATTTCTTCTAAAAGCTCAAAATCCATCACACATAACTTCAGTTGTTACTGCAAAAAGCTCCTGGGTGTTCTACCTGTGCGACTGGTTTTCTGTTGCCGACGTAGTATCTGATAAGCGCAGGGACGCTGTCAAATCCTTCTTTATCCAGACGATACTCCACTCTGGAATAGGCTTCATTCAACATCACAACCTAAACACAGACATTGTGTTAACAGAATACAAAAGCAGCAGTTGGTTCCCATGGTAACTTTGAACTCCTACACTGTACCTTCTTATTAATTTTAAAGTGCTGAGCAGCGTTTCTCCATTGGCAGGTCATCACGTAACTTCCTGGACTTGACAGCGAATCACGAACCAGGAAGTCTCCATCTCGCTGGACCAGGTTTTCTGCGACCTTTAACAGTAAAACAAATCTGATAAGTACGTCTGAGAAAACTTAAAAAAACATTTTTTTTTTGGAGGGTCTGTCACATGCTTGTCTCCATGGAGATGTTATTGTGTGGCCAGATATGTTCCGTAGTATGTAATTAAACGTGTATCTTTATCTATGATGCCCACAGCCAAACCAAGTGACAAATGACAAGCACACTCATAGTAACTCATAGTTATGAATACATGATTTTCAAGTGATTTGTGAGTAATGAAATAACTGCATGACAGATATGTTTAATGCCATACTGTGGAACCTTCAAATCAAAGTTCAAAATGCTCTATTTCTACTTTGTGATGTCAGGAAGCAATAGTTTTCAAGTTAAGAGCTACCTTTTACAGTTGAGATTGGAAATTCAAGGGCTCAAATTATCCAAATGATTCTAGTGAAGGTGTGTGGAGTTTAAAAACACAGTGGAGCCCTTCCTGTATTATCACATGACAGGACATGTCAATGTAGGACAGAGTGTATTCTGTGTGAGAGAAGAACCTAAAAAGGCAGGATTAGTGTGAATGAACCAAAACAAAAATCAGGGTATGTTCTTGATGGCCTTTTAAACAAAGCATTGCGTTGATGAGCTTCACTTTGTTCAGTAGAAATGGATCACTAAAACATGTCATGTGACTGAATCAATACACAATTAAAACCAGGCCAGTCCAATAACACACTTTAACTGTTAACACTGGATAAACTGTGCAGATTTGTGTTATAAAGTCTATTTCCATCTCACAGTCACTGCTCTGTCTCCCATAGACTTTAATTAAGTGTGTGTTTGTGTAGCCTATAATGGTTTGGTTTAGTCAGAGGAAGCAGCATATTAAAAGTGATTAGATCTTGGTGGGCTTCACATGCAGTGCACAGGGGCCCTCCTCCCTTTGGCTCTAAATACTGTCTGTCTCTCGGGTCACACGGATGGGGGATTTTCAATATAGGAGCAGACTATGATGTGAAAGTACAAAATCAAATGAAACAGAAAGTGCACACTGAAGTACTTATAGAGGTGCAAATGCGAGGAGCAGCAACTTAACAGTGAAAAAATGCTTTGCACACTCAGATGGCTGACGTCCAAAACATGTTTCATTTTTAGATAACTTTTCAGCAAAAAGCCTTTATCAGATCATTTATATTCCTTCGGACCACAGTACAAAATGTCACATAAACTTGGCCTGCACAAAATAAAGCAATAGAAACAAAATAGCAATAGCAAACAGCAAAGATGTAATTATAAACCCCCAAAAAATAAATTATTAGTGAAAACACTGCTAACTCTCTCTAACTCTTATGTTAGTTTAGCAGTTCATATTTAAGTATTTTCATCCATGCTAGTGCTCCTGGATGAGTGACCTGATTTTTTATTTGGAAACATAATTTGCAAATCTATTCACTTTATTTCTTTCAAAATTGTGTATTACCATCCATTAAAGAGATAATCTGGAATTTTGGACATAGGACCTCATTTCCTAGTTAGCCAGAGTTTTGGAGACGTGTGGAGACATTTAAAAAAAAATTCCATCCAGTCCTTGTATTTGCAGAGGTCGCTGGTGCTAGGCTAGTGCATGTCAATGGCCATAGTTAGCCTGCTGCTAAAAACAGTCTTAGCCATTCCACACAGCTCCCAAAACAAATCTATTATTACGCCAGAATGTCGATTTGAATGTCTGTCGATAGAAGTAAAACTTACCTTGCACTGCATGAATCGTGGCATTTTGATGGACTATTTTCTCATATATCAATCCGCTGCTGCCAAGCTTTCCAGCAGGAAGTACAACTCCCTGCTGCTCAGACATAAATCCTTCAAATGCAAGGCTCATTTTACAACACAGACATTCACATCAACAGTCTGGTGTAATAATAGATTTGCTTTGGGTGTTTTGTGGAGTGGGTAAGACTGTTTTTAGTGTCAGGATAACTAGGGCCATTGACATGCGCTAGCCTAGCACCAGCGACCTCTGCAAATACAAGAACCGGATGGAATATTTAAAAAGTGTCTCTGGCTAACTGGGAAATAAGGTCCTATGTCCAAAATTCTGGACGGTCCCTTTAAATCTCCTTTACAACACAAAGACCACATCATTTAAAAGCTTCTACTCATGAGGCTGTCAGCACTGTCTTTTGTTCCACTATTTGCTTCAGTAAGAGTGTGAACTTATCTTTTTTATACTTGTAAACAGTAATGACAGGTGATCAGGTTGGACTAGTTCCCTCCAGGCTGAAGGGAGGGACTGGAGACTGCTCAGACTAGTGCAGAGTTAAGTAATTACTAATTAGATAATGACCTAGATGTAAGAATTTAAAAATAATCTTTACTTTACTTTATCTTTCAAATTCAAAGTCTGATTTCCTAAAGCTAGTAAAGAATCTATTATTATTTAAGACATTTTCAAAACTGATAATAAGCAGTATATTTTTTAAATGAAATCATCAATAGAACCTGATTTAAAATTTTGATACATACAATTATCTGAGCCAGTTTCCTTTTGCAGTTAGTATCCCAGGTTGGTTGTGTGATTATTTTGGGGTTCTAGCCTGAAAATGTAACATACATGACCATGACAGTAGCTCCCTCTGTTCTGTATCACTTGAGGAAAAACAAAACCCCTGATCTATTAGACTATGTGAAAGAAAATGAATGAAGGATTTCACAGTTGTTTGGTGATTTTGAATAGTGAATTATGGTAATGTTATAATAATAATTGTAACACTAAAGTTTGTTATTGTGACATTTGTAGTGTAAAGCAGTGTGGTACCTGTCTGGGTATGGCTCCGTGGTACCATGCGTGGCTCCTGGGCTCATCTCCGTTCATTTTCAGCTCCTCCTCCAGTTCTCGCCGAAGCTTCTCTGGAGGACAGTCCAAAATGAACTGGTCTCTCGAGAACTGCAAAGAAAAATAAGACATACATTACAAAGATGAAGCAACATGGGCATTTTTAATATATCTGTGAACATTTTACAAGCAAAATAAGTAATTTCAATTCAATCTATGGACCAAAAAGGTAAACTAGACCTGGTTGAATTCTATTTCAGTCCTGCCTCAGTTCTGGTTTAGTTCTGAATCAGTTCTGGTTTAGTTTTGGTTTAGTCATAGTTTATTCCTGGTTCAGACCTGGTTTAGTCCTGTTCCAGTCCTGGTTAAAAATCTGGTTTAGTCCTGTTCCAGTCCTAGTTTAGACCTGGCTCAGTCCTAGTTCAGTCCTGGTTTAGTCCTAGTTCAGTCCTGGTTTAAATTCTAGTTTAGTTCTGTTCCAGTCATCAGTCTAGTTTGAGGAATGACTATATATTAGTGTGAATGAAAGAGATTTATGGATTTCAAATTTTTTAGTTATTGTAGCAATAATTGTTCATAAAAATCATAAAATTATGAAGTTTTTTGCTTAAAATAATCCACTAACACTAAAATGTTCTATTATTACATTGTTAAATTTGGACCAAGCAAAGACATTAGTCACGTGCACAGCTGAGGAAAGAGACAAATGAACTGGTATTTCATAATAAACAATAGCCCCACGTGTTGTCAGTTACAAATCAAGTACGTCCAGTCCTTTTCTGCTTCATTACTTCCATTATCTTAACATGACTCTGACATAACCCAGTAATGTCTGTTTTAAACCATACTGAATAAAACAATATTATTTTGACACTACAGAGCAAGAGGTCAATTTTTAAGGTCAACAGAAAAACTTTCCATAACACACTAAAAATACCAAGATAGAGGCTGCCAAAAATACAATGTGGTATCTGGAGTCAAGCCAGAGATTAAACATGCAATCACTACAGTAGAAGAGAACTTTAAGCCTATTAATAGAAGTTGTAGTACTCAGTTACACCATGCTTTTTCACTTTTTAATTGAGTAATGCATTTTACAGTGTACCAGTACTCCTGTTTGTGTAAAAGGTTTGGTAAATGGTCACATTTTTCTATAGCGCTTTTCCACCTTCAAGGTACTCAAAGCACTTTACAACAAGGAACCACTCACCCATTCACACACCAGTGTACACAGACACTGTGGGCAATGTGGGTTAAGTGTCTTGCCCAAGGACACAGCGACAGCATTCATCTGTGGGAGCTGAAATCACACCAGCCAACCTGTGGGTCAGTGGATCTGACCGCTCAACCTGTGATGTTTATGTCGAGAGCTGGAATCAAACCACCAACCTTCAGATCAGTGGACAAATGCTCTACCAACTGAGCTACTACCGCCCTTTTGGTTTGGTTTGGTTCTTTTAGTAGTTCAATCTAGTCTAGAGCTTGACTCTAATTTCTTGGACCACTGCTTACTTAATAGTATAATCATATCATTTTAAAGTAACAGTACTTTTACTTTTACAATTTTTACCCAAACTCTACCTACCTCTGAATATAAATCAGCATATTCCAGTGGTGTAGGAGGAAGTATGAGTATTTTGTTTCTTAAGCAAAAGCACAGCAAAAAATACTCAAGTGAAAGTATCACATGAAAATTACTTTTTAAAAAAGTATTAAGTACCTATGAAAATGTACTTAAAAAGTAACAAGTAAAGGTATTTTGCTTACATAAATACAATGTGCTCAAGTTAAGTAGACATACCTAAAATGTATACTTAGTACAGTACTTCTTTTACTTTATTACTTCCACCTCTAGCATATTCACAAAACCAGATTGATACAATAAAAAAAGTTAAGATAAAGATCAAATTTTGAAGTTTCTAACAGTTACAAATACACACTTACTTCACAGCTGCTTGGTCTCTCCATAGCTCTTTCTCAGATCTGCCTTTAGTTTAACATAACTACAAACTTTTTCCAATTAGATCCTATAGTCTTCCCATTTTTTCATGTAGTATTCCTCATTGTCTCACATGGTTTCCGATCTGCAGCACTATGACCAACCCAAAGCCTGTACCTGCCTCCGTACACACCTACACCTGACGCAGAGCCCTCAGGTGACGCAACTATTTCCTTCAACTCATCACATTTAAACTGGTTTTGCAACTTTGAAAAGGTTCTGATTTTCCAGTAACAGTTTGAATTGATACATTTGATGTCTGTTTATGGGAAACGCTACAGTCATTTCTGAATTAGACAGAGATGCATGGGAAATGTGTACTCAGGATAGTTAATAAATTGTATGTTCAGAGTATATGTGTAATTCTTTCTTTGTAGAAATAACAATCTCCCATAGTAAGTTGTAGGGTACTATGAGATACAGTGTTACTGTAACATTGACAGTAGAACCCACCAGTGATGGAAGAAGTACTCAGTTTTGTTACTTAATTAAAAGTATTGATGTACTTATTTAAAAATGTACTTAAAGAGTAAAAATGTTTTCAAATTTTGAAACAACTGAATCAATCTTTTTTTCTAGCAGTTTTTATTTCTATATTTTTGTTTGCTCATATTACAAATGTGTTAAAAATAAACATCTCCAACAATAATAAAAACTACTTTCTCTTTTCAGTTCAGTTAAAAATGTAATGAAGTTTAAAGTATAGAAGTAAAAAGTATTCACTTTAAACAGATACCAAAAATGTAAGTACCATAAAAAGTACCATACTTTACTACTTTTAATTTGTTGCATTCCACCATTGTAAGCAACATTAGAGTTAGTAAAAACAGCAGAGTGGACATTGTAGTAGTAATTGAAGACCTCCTGGTTAATTAAAGGTAAAAAAGTAGTAGTAGTAGTAGTAGTAGTAGTAGTAGTAGTAGTAGTAGTAGTAGTAGCAGTAGTAGCAGTAGTAGTAATAGTAGTAGCTCTAGGAGTACTAGTACTAGTAGTAGTCAGAATAAAGTCTCTATGGTACTTTTGAATTCTGTGGTAATTAATGTAAGAATAAGGCTGGAAACAAAAGCAACTGTAAATAGCAATGACAGTGTAAACAAAAGATTGACCTACTAATAGTATAATTACTTACTCTTGTCTTGAGTAAATACATTTAGATTTTCAAATGTAAAGCTCTTATTTCATTAGTAGTAGTGGTATTAGTATTAGTATTAGTAGTAATAGTAGTAGTAGTAGTAGTAGTAGTGGTAGTAGTAGTAGTAGTAGTAGTAGTAGTAGTAGTAGTAGTAGTAGTAGTAGTAGTAGTAGTAGTAGTAGTAGTAGTAGGTGATCTCATTTCAAACTGATATCTTACATGAAGCCATAACAGTAAGAACATGCACTTACATATGTATTGATTAATATTCATGCAATTGTTTGAAAAAAGCCAATACCACTCCCCATGAAACTGAAACCTTTATGGTGCATTACACACTGAACTGGCTCTATACGTCTCTCTAAAGACATTACAATAGACCCCTGTGCCCTGCATCTCAGTGGCTCTGGAGTGGGACGAGAATCGCTCAGATCGAATTTCAGCTTCATCCAAACAGAAAAGAGACCATGTCATTTTGAGAGACATTATTGCCTCTAAACAAAGTAGAAGTCTGCATTGTCCTATAGTGTAGTAGTAGTAGCAGCAGCAGTTTTTCCTGTTATGCAAGGATGACTACCAATACAACCTGAAAACAAATTGAAGGTATTACTATTTATTTTTAAAAGCACCACAGTTTTGCTGTTTTAGGGTTTAAAACTGTAAAACTGTGTAACTTTTTGAGTGCTGTGTCTGCGACTTCTACATAACCATGGAAATGTTGTTACTTTGCCTGGATGGTTTCACAGTATTGCATTGAACATCTATACAATATTCAATTACATGTGTTTTTATTACTTAAAACGTGCATTTTTCTGTGAGCAGGGTCGCCTCTCCACAGATTTAACTTCTCTGGTGACAGCAAGCAGGTGTCGCCCCCGGATAATACAGACTGATAAGCTTAATGCTACACTGGGGAACATTCCGTAAAACAATAACATCAAGGAGATAACCAGGTGACTAACCCTCCAACTGTGCAGCTTTAAGAATTAAGGTGGTTCTTCTTGCAATATAATAGTGATTGTCAGTGCCTGGATACAAATTGTGAATATTTTAGTTAAAGTGTAAATGCCCTGTTCATTAAGAAACAATTCCATGTCATTTAAAGTTTATTTAATTGAGTCTTGCCCTTGAAAAATGTTTTAATTAATTCAAGATTTTTAAACCCACTGTTTGAAAGTAATATGTTCCTTGGCCCATTTACAGTTTACAGTGTTTGTATAAAATATATACTAGATTGAACATACATGAAGTGCACATTGTAAATATGTGGATGTCCTTAATAACAGTTTCTTCAGTAACACATCAACTTATTGCAATGACTAGTTTCTGCTTAAAAGCATGTGACAGAATTGATAAATGCATTTTATATAATAACACTAACATTTCTTTTTATTTGTATTGATTTGTACTATAGTAAGAGCTCTTTTTATGTCTGCTGTCACCATGCCAACAGAGATGATGGACAGAGCAGAGGAGGGCAATGGATAAACGAATGCAAAGTCGACAAAGGCACAAGAGACGAAACAAATGGATTATGCAGATGAGGTAGACGAATGTAATATTTAAGAGGGGGCATGATGAGAATAAATATAAAAGTGGACATCCATTCTTTTTACTGGTGGTTGTTTTATAAGAGTCTGCAGGATGATGTCATTCTTAGTGCTGTAGAGGCCTCGGTGACTATAACAATGGCCACTAAGATCCCTCTCTGTCATTCAGGCTTATAGTGAGCTCATATTTACTACTGGTTTCATGAATGAGTCAAGAAGTCACATGCTGTCCAAAGAAAACAATGACTTTTAAGTGAAATTAAAGTATCAAGATTAAGTGTGTTTGAGTCAGCATATTTGTGTCAGCAGCTGTACAGACTCTAGTGTTGGCAAGCTAAAAAATGCTCAATCATAATATAGTAATAACTTATGAATTCATCAATATTTTTGAGATACTAGAGACTGAGGTACTTTGTGAAAAGCATGAAAT